TTTTTTTAGAATAAAATTATCAATTAGAAGCCATTAGCATCAAAATAAACACATCAATTATTTTTATGAAAGAGGAGAACAAAAGATAATTTTTTAGTCCAATGAAGTTCTGTTATCATTAAACACCGGTAATTGAAATATTTTAATAATTATTCTATCCTAATTGATATACTCTACATCGGATTAAAAAAAACGTGCTTTCACAGTTATCAAATATAATAGAAATAATGAAAGCAAGACTTGACAATTTAAACGATGTGCGAAATGGTGAAAAGAAATATTTCATCAGAAAATAATTACGTCCGGCAGCTCTGATTCTGATATATCTTTGACAAAAAGATTTTGATACTTATCTTAATAAACCTAGTTAAATTTAAAAGTTACATGTAAATTCAAATTTGACTTAAAATATTTTGGTTTTAATTTAATCTAAAGAAGATATCTTCCCACTGTCTGATTTAGAATAACCTTTCCCATAACACATTATGTTCACTCTGACGTCTATTAAAATTATAATATAGAAAAATAAACTGTCGATGAATCTTGTTAGTCAAAAGTATGCCAAATTCCGCTTGAATACCTTGCCATAGAATCTTATTACATGTTTGAAATTAGCGTTAAATTATGAGTAACATCGTGGTATTTTTATTTCAATGCTGTTATTTATATTATTCTTTGATCAAAACTTTGGAAACTTGGATTAGCAAGTGTCGGCTTTTTCCATAGTTAAAAGATAGAAGTAAATGTCCATTATTTTCATATATAAAGATAGATATCAAGGATGCGTGTGAATGTAGATGCAAAATAAAGATATAACATTCACCCTCACCTTTTATGATTATGATACAGTTTTCTTTTATATGACCGAATTGATAAAAGGTAAAAAAGAAGTTAGTTGAAAGTAATAACGATATTTTTCGTTGCGCTAATAATGAATATACATTTTTTTCTAGATTAGAAAAGATAAGAAAGAATATAAAAGAAGTCAAGTTTTGCTCGTCGTTACTTATTTCTTTTCTTTTTTGTTCTATTTGTCTCTCATCGAAGATGGAAGATGTTGCACGTGGAGAAATAAATTTTTTTACTCAAACAATTGACGGTTCTCCTGCATGGGTTGATGTGAACGCTAAATCAGCTTGGGCAACATCTAATTTTGCACAAGGACCTGCACATGTTACTATTCATGATTTGCGAGGCAAGGAAACAAGCGTAAACCTTAATATTCATGCCATGGAAGTACACAAATATGATGGTGAAATCAATGATGAATTTGATAACAACAGTGAAGAACAACAAATATATTACAATGAAATAATTTCTTTCTTAAAAAATTATCTTGGAGCTTCACGTGTAATCATATTTAATCATTTATTTCGTTCTCGTGGTACACCACGAACAGATGAACAATGCGATATGAATCACAAGAATCCTGTATTATATCCACATGTTGATCTCGATCCACCAGGTGTTCGATGGAAAGTAAACGAGATACTCGGCAAGGAAGAAGCTGAGAAAGTTATGCAAAATCGATTTCAAATAATAAATGTATGGCGTCCATTGGGTCCACATGTTATAAGAAACAAACCATTAACCTTGTGTGACTATTCTTCTCTTGATGTTCATAATGATGTTCATCCACTTGAAGTTCGAGGATCTACGAATGCTCTCACATCCTATACGGTGTCTCGAAATAAACAAGATGCTCAAAGATGGCTTTATCTTAGTGATATGCGATCTGACGAGATGTTTCTTATCAAAATTTTCGATAGCAATCCAAATGTTGCTCAATTTTGCTTTCATACAGCTTTTATTAATGAAAATTTTCCTGAATTAAAGACAGAACAGAAAAGTATCGAAGTACGCTGTCTTGTTTTATATGATAATTGACAAAAATAAAATATTTAAAATATATATTTGTATTGGAGTTAAGCGAATAAGAACTGTAGATATCAGGAAGCCAGTCTATATATCACAGTAGATGTTCTATAGAGATCTAATTATGAAACCCATAAATGTGCTAAAATTATATGAAACTATCAGTTTAGTGATCATCACGTGTGTATCCATATTATATAAACCGATCAGTTCGCCGATTAATAGAGCCTCACGTTCGGTCGGTGTTAAAATCTGTCAACTTCTTCCTTACCTCGCTTCTTACTCTCGGCTGTGTCAAACACTTTTATTAGAACCTGCTCATCATTTTTTCGTATACTTATTATCTTTTCGTAATATGATAAATAACAACAAAAAGATCAAGCTTATATTGTGCACGTCAATATATTACAATAAACCACGGTAGGTTTCTGTTATCATCAGAATTGTTTATTTTTGGGCTTAAGCATGGTCATATATGAAGATAGGCGTGTATTATCAAGATAGATCGGTAGACAATAAAAAACACAACAAAGATTACGTTCATAAAAATTGAGATGGAGAATACGAGATATAATTTATACAAGAACGAAAAAATACAACGTGGAGACACACCACGTTTAATTTACTCAGTAAAGATTGACAAAAACGAGAATCATGTCGCTTCAAGGCTTTGCGTTCTACCCACCGATGGTAGGACTATAGAAAAGAGAAAAAATACGACAGTAACTTGACAACTACAAAAATTGAGAAGCCTACGCCAATCATGAAGAAAATTGAAACTATAACGAGAATTAATATCCAATTTCTTCGTATAGTGGGTGCAAGAGTATTGGTAGGGTTATTCGTAGGCTCTGTATCATCGGGAAGACTTGATGGATCTAAATAAAAGAAATAAAATCATCACGCCATAACAAATAGAAATTACATCAAACTAAAGTACGAACAATGATTCTTTTAGTTTGGAATCATAAAATCAAAGTTTCTCTCGAGATGAAAAAAGAAGAGTCACAAACTTTTTTATCTTCTAAAATCGAATACGTACTGATCTCCCTTCTAATCTTTGACATAGTCTTATCATTTTTTTCCATACGTAATAGGACCTTTTCAACCAGCATTGTGATGCTTTCTTCAACGTTTTGTCCCGTGCATGCACTAATTTCTATGTAAGGTACCGAATATTTGTCAGCCAATTCTTGAGCACGCGCTCGTGAAATCACTCGAGCATCTTCACAATCTGCTTTATTACCGACAAGTATCACATCGGGATCTTCACAATAACCATGAATCTTTATTTGATCGAGCCAATAGCTCACTTCGAGAAAGGATTCATCTGATGTCAAGTCAAACACAACAAAGAAACCACCTGCATCCTGCAAAAATGCCACTATCATACTTCTAAACTTGACAAGAAGCAAATATTAACTACATTATATGTATTGTCAAGCCATTAAAACTTGTAATATATGAGAAAACCTACCGTTCTAGACCTGTCTGCAGTAAGAAAAAAGAATAGAAAATATTGATTATATTTTTTCTTATATAAAAATCGTATTTACTCACCGCATCCCACATTTGGAAGTGAATTGTATATGGTTTAGTATTGGAAGGTGTTTTTGATTGGCATACTAACTGTTTTTCCTCAAAGTCGAGGCCGTTTGTCGAAATAAATGCCGGATTGAATACTTTATCAAAATATCGGTGGAGATATGCGGTTTTGCCTATGAATATCAATGGTGTTTGTATAAAACAATAAAAATAATACGTTTCATACCGACTTGAGATCCACCTAATATCATTGATTTGAGCAAATATCTGTATTCGGGTGGCGTAGCTGTCAATGAATTATCCACCATTATTGTTGTCTCTTGAACATCATTATCATGTGATAAATCATCGTGTGCCAACATGTTTTCACTCACACTCTTTAGACTATAACAGACAACAAACTAAATTATTCCGAAAGCGCATGATGTATTCACAAGGGTGTACATAACGTAAACTAAAAGCTCTTTAGAGATATTCGTTTCGAGCTGAAGCGACTTTTGCGAAAATAAATTTTGAAGCTTTATAAAGGAATGTATGCTTCTTTTTCTATGAATTCTTCTCTACTGAATTTTGAATAAAAAGGCGAGATGAGAATGTTGTTAATCCAATTTTTTCTTTTCTTAGTTTCATATTTGAATGAAAAAGTATCAAAGATAGACGTCTACTTACGAAAAACAAATATTGAATCAATAAATGAATATGATTTATTTTTTGATCGCTATTCACTTGACTTACCCATATATTATGTCAAACATAACTGATCGATTTTTCTTCAATAGACACGTCTGTAGACATGTCGGATGAAAATATTACCTCTAGGACAACCATTAGCGTATATAAAATATTTTTTTATGCTTCTCTACTGTATTTCAGAGATAATTATCTATTGAATACACTGAAGAACGAAAAAGTAAAAGATGGGGGATGAGAGTATCAATCTGATTATTTTTTTAAATTTACACCCACCCACACCCACCCTCAAGGTTCAACGTATAATGTAGTGTGCTTGTAATCCAGGGCGGTTTCTTAATACGAGACACGAAAGAGAGAAAAAGTGATGAAGCATAACTGCATAAACAACGTGTGTTATTATTCTTTTCTTCATATTATTATGGTTTAGAATAAGATAAAAATAAAGCGCACATTTTTAACTAATTTAACTATAACTGATAATAATAAGTTGAAATACATTGTCATATTTTAGTACATGTTGTATTGTTAAATTAATTGAAGTATATTCGTAAACTCGATATAAAACAGAATAATATCTCATATTTAAAAGTTAAACTTCGAAAATTTGATCCTAATCTTGAACTTTGATTGAAATCAATTCGAAATATTCACCGATTAGAATTCTTCTGACATCAAATTTATCAACAGTATTATGAACGAAAAAGTTTTAATTTCAAAAAACTTTGGGATATTCATGTACCAAAATATGATTACAGAATATTAATAGTATTGATGATTTTTATCACAACGCAAAGACTGTCATCATATATATAATACAGATAAATGCATGGTTTAAGAGAATAAAAAAATGTATTTTTTTCTAAACAATTAAATATTTAAGATGTGCATGAGGATGGACGTGTGGTTCCTATTTCTATCTCATGCTTGTATCTACACCCTACACAATTATAATAATAGTAAATATTTTTTTCTTTACATTTCTAGTATTATTGTTATTGTTGCATCTTGTTTTCTTTCTATGATATTATTTTAAAAGTTTCTTTAAATTTCGATACATTTACATTTATAATTAGATGTCAAATAATTTTTCTTTAGAAGCTCTTGATATTTTTATTCTTTTTTCGTCAGTCATATATATATAAACCCATGTAAAAAAAAAGCGTGAAAAATTTGATTGTAATCCGATTTTTAATCAGAAAAAAAGTCGAGAAGGTCGACCGATACCTGAAAAACAGAAAAAACACGTTTTTTCTTCATTATGATTAAAATCGATTATAATATATTAGTTTCAACGATTTCAGCGATTTTTTCCTTGATTCGAGAAGAGTGTCATAGTGTGACTTCTCTCAATGTTATGTGTAGTATGTGTCGATTGCTTGTCCATCTCTTGATGAACACGCATATATTTCACGTATACAACTTTTTTTCGTCTCTTCTCTCTTTATGAAGGTGGTGAAGATGATATTATTAGTGATTATTGTTACTGTTATAGTTGTTTTTTTGTGAGTTATGCTTTTTCTAGATGTACCGTTTACTTATGGGATAAATTGATATATCTCAGTCAAACACTCCGAGAATAAAACATTAAGAAAAATTAAATATACTTAAACGCAAAAACAAAGTATAGGCGTACATATAAGATCTTCATTCATAATTTTTCTTGCAACAAATCATGAAAAATCTCATTGTGATAAATGTATTTTCTTTAAAATATAAAGTCAAATGTATCTTAGCGTTGACTAACTTAATACAGAAATAAATTTGACTAGTTTGAAAACTATCAATAGTATTGTTATATTTAATAAGCTTATTGTATATTGATGATTTAACTATTAATCTATTTTATAAAGAGAATGAATCCTATTCCCAAAAGTTACACATTCCGGAATCACTCGAGCCACTCAATTTAACACAATTCAATTCCGGAATTCCTGGTTTACTATTCTTGCCTATTCCAGAATCGGCCGCATTGGATTCCTGCCAAATCCGGAATTCCTTGCATCCGATTCCTGCCTTTTCCGGAATTTATCGCGCTCGATTCCTACCGATTCCGGAATTCCACTAGTTATGCTTCAGGTAGAAATGATCTTGCTCGATAATCGATTCGATTCCGTCGCGGAATTCCGGAATCGCCCGGAATGGATAGGAACTCCTGCTCATCCCGTGCTTGTTCACAGACCAAGCCTCCCACACACTCACACTATTGTGCTTGCCCATCGACCGAGCCTCCCGCACACCCACACTATTGTGCTTGCACACCGACGAAAGCTTTCTATGTTAAGCTGTACTTAAATATCAATAGATCAAGCCATTCCGGAATAGGTAGGAATGTGCAGGATTTCTGGGAAATGCACGAATTCCGGAATTCCGTATTTCTCACCATGTCAAGCGATTCCGGAATGGGCAGGAATCGAATGCAAGGAATTCCGGAATAGGCAGGAATCGAATGCTGTTAAGTTGGGTGGGCCGAGCGATTCCGGAATGTGTAACTTTCCGGAATAGGATGACTGCTCCTAGTTTGAGTAATGTTGATATAATGGATAAACAGATTGTTTCTTGTATCTAAACATATCAATTGATTTTAGCAATTACCTTTTGCTTGTTGGTATAGATAAAGAGTTTTTATTTTTTTTGCTTTACATTCACATTAGTTCTACCGGAATCTCGTGAATAATATTTGCAGAGAGACTAGTAGCTATTATTTCACATATATACAACTATTTGTACTATTCTTACTTGATAATATACGATCAAAAAAATAACATTCTTATACTTAGTTTTTTATTCCCCACTTCTTTTTTCTCTATTGAGAAATTTAATATATGATCATATACTGATTTTAAAAAAAGTAACATTATATGGTAATAAAATCTTTTTGACATTTATTGATGAGGAATATTATTCTTTTATTTTAATATTACATTTTACTTTCAACTATAAGACACATACTATTTAAGAAAATTCTTCGTTTTATTCCTTTGCATATATTTATTTAATAAGATAAACAGATTAAATAAATTTATCTGTTACATTGTGTATTGTTAAACACAGTAGAAAATGGATTTGTACTCAGCGATTTATATCCTGACAGGATACAAGCAGAGTTTTCAACACAATAAACCTTCATAAATTGTAAATAAATTTATTTGTGGATTCAATTTCTAACAAAATTCATTTGATTATCCGTCGGCATATATCGAAATGATAATTGTTTTATGAATCGCAATTTTCTTCTGTTTTTTTTCGTCCAATATATTAATCTGATACATCTGGTTTCATATATTTCAAGTTAACTTCACCATTCTATTGCAAATATCTTATTATCAGTCAAAACTGCTCAATATTGTATTCAAAAAAAATACAAATGAAAACGAAATATCAGATTAGCGTGAAATGTATTAGTTTCATTCAAATTTTCAACTGTCAATGAGTATAAATTTTGATAAGTTCTAGATGATGATAGTTCATTTTTAATTAACTTGATGTAAGGGATTATATTATATTCATGTCATTCCTTCGATTGACGCACATACTATTTAAAATTAACATAAAAAGTAAATCAACCGCTAGAGGATGTCATATCTGACAACTATTTTTATCCTAAGATGCTTGAGAAAATTTAGTAAAGCTAATTGAATGCAACTAGAAATTGTAATAAGTTCATTCTGTATCACAGTCTGCTTGCGTACATCATTTTTTTACATTATCTAATACTAATTAGAAAGCTTTGCTTGAGCATTTACTCGCTTTGAAATACGTAAACTAAGGATTAAAAAAACACTAAGTTAATTTTCTTTTCTCTGATAATATGTAGGCGCTGAAAGTTCTTTTGTTTTTATTGCTGCTGTCATCATATAAAACTGCCAGTGTAAATTATTTATACATCACATTAATATTGAAGTTATTTTCATTCTACTAATCCATAAGAAAGATGTCTGCTGCAGCCACGCTATATAATGTTCAACAGCAGATACTCCGTATTGGTGGTCCAATGCTGATAGTTATTGGAACTATCAGTTGTCTAATGAATCTAATGGTCTTTACCAAGAATACTTTACGAAAGAATCCATGTACTATTTGCTTTATAGCTGTGAATGTCATCAATTTATTGTATTTTTATTTTGGTTTATTGCCAACAATCCTTTCCTCTGGTTATAATATTGATCCAAGTACCAATAACATCGTTCTCTGTCGATTACGCTATTATTTTGCTTATGTTTTTGCATGCTGGTTGTCATCTTGTATTATTTTGGCAGCCATCGATCGCACATTTATCACTTCACCAAATGCCAATACTCGACGATTTAGTACACGTCGTTTAATTACAATCAGTATGGTCGGCATCTCGATGTTTTGGTTACTCTTTATGAGTCATGCATTAATCTTCACAGAGATAATTCAATTCGCACCTGGCTACTTTGTTTGTTACTATCAACCAGGTTTATATACTACATTGATGTCTTATCAATCAATCTCAATCATGGGAGTCATTCCACCACTTCTCATGGCAATCTTTGGACTTTTGACGGTGAGAAATATTCGAAGAGTACAGCGTCCAGCACAACATTCTCGAGTTGTCGATACAGGAGTGATCGCAATTGGTCAACTACATGTTCTGCATTCAAAAGATCAACAACTGATTCGCATGTTGCTTGTGGATATCATTAGTTTTATTATTTGTAAATTTCCTGCAACGATCATGCCCATCTATTCACAAATTACACAATACAATGCAAAAAGTGTCGAACAACAAATAATTGAACAATCAATTATTCAATTAACGTTCTTGTGGTACTTTCTCGACAATAGCATCAGTTGTTACACAAATATATTCGTTTCTAAAACATTTCGAGCAGAACTAAAGCGTATTTTTTCTAATGCTTATGCCTTTTACTTTCATTAGTAAAATTAATTTTAATATTTGTATCAAGAAGTAGATTAATAAAGCAAATAAATGTTGTGAAAATCTTCTCTACTCGCTAATCAAGCATATATAATAATTCTAATTTCACATCAAATGAACGAGATAGTCTCATACTAATCATCTTTAAGTTTTCAAAAAAGTGATGACTTTTGAAATTCTGTAATAACACATCAACTAAGTAATTACTGTCTTGTCGATTAGGATTATGCATAGAAGTGTTACTTTATTTTATTTCTTTATCGTTGTTGTTTACAAAGTAAAGATAAAAATTTACGCTATGTTTATTTATAAAGTAAAGATTAAGTAACATCCCTGATTATGTGATCGCACTAGACTTTAACTAATTAGTTAACTAGAAACGAAAATCTTCTAGGATGTTTACAATTCTACAATGCCTTATTTCTACTATTCTGTAGTGGCAATCTGATTAAATTCTGAATCACCAAAGCAGATGACTATGTAGTTATCTTTCTTTTATATTATCCAATTGTTGTTTGTTGTACTTCTCAAATGTATGCGTTGCTTATGTTGTTTTAAATAAATTACATTGAATTATTTACAAGTTTAAGTTATTTTTCATAAGACAATGTTGCTTCTCTGGTTTGGTCATAAAAACAATACGCTAAATATGTATTATGAACTGTTAAATCAAGTCGTTTAGTTTTTCTATTAAAGAAAAAAACTGTTTCAACATAAAGTTTCTTTATTCAAATCATAGAACTTAATGATATCGAAGACAATTTGTGTAGAAAAACATAGGATAGAATACTGCATTTGTTGATTTTGATATTAAAACCTTATAATTCTACGATTACTGTAGCAGTTAGCAAGGTAAATGTAATTAACTGCATAGTAGACATGATTGTGATTGAATCAATTAATATCATCTCGTTTCATATGTGTCACGACATGGTCGAGTTCTACAGTGTATTTACGTTGACGAATACAATAGAAACAAAGAACTATGTTTGTTTTAAAAAGAAGTTTCTTTTTGTCAACAAATTGTGTTATATAGAAGAATAAGGATCACATACAAAGTATGAAGGTCGAAAAAATCTAGGTAATACTCCAAAAGGTTCACATAAAGCCGATGTAACAACAGTATGCTTTTAATATTCTTATTAATTGTAGCTGATAACATTCATATAGTCTTATAGTTTTTAATTCAATAGAATAAATGGCATCAGAAATACATGTTTAATAATTTTTTTCCTTTATTTCTTAAGATCAAAAATCTTTTTCTTTATTTAGATTATTAATGATATTTAAGCATTTTGAAATCGAGCAAGTGGAAAACTTGGTCCTGGACATGTACGTCCTACATTAAACTGATCATGTGTATATATATTAATGCCCTTGTAACGACGTTTAATATCAGCAACCAATCGGACACCTGATGCAATTTGTACTTCAGGCATAATATTATTATTTTGAATATTACGACTAAATTCAATTCCAATACACCATAAATTTGGATTTGGACGACCATAAAATACCGAATTTGTTGTTACCACACCTAGAAATAAATTAGGTAACTGTCTTATTAATCCTAGAAAAACACTAGAAAATGAAATTTACCATTATGCCATGCAGTATCATCTTCGCTAACCATTTGAACGACTGATCCATCTTGTTCAACAACATAATGAGCTGATACTTTGCTTGTTGGATTTTGAAACCATGAAACTGTACCTCCGCCAGCAGTGCCATGAAGTACGAGACCTTTTTGAATATATTTTAATAAGTTAATTAAAAGAGACAGAAAAATCAATGTTTACATGTAATAGCTTGACCGCTGCGACCACGATTAAAATGTGGCGATGGAACTTGTTTAGCTGCAAGATAATCCAATGTCCATGAATGAACAGAACCCACAAATAAACACAACAATAGTTTAATGTATGTCATGATGAGATTTTCTAAAAAGATAACTCAATAAAAATGAAAGTCAATCGTACCGTTTTTATTGTATCACACTCTCCTAAAGAAAAAAGTCGTTGGTATTCTCGCTTTTTATTAGTGAATATTTTCATTCAGAAAAGTAAGAAATCTGAGAAAATAATCTATATAAGCCCTCCTTTTCTTTCATTTACTTTCGAAGGCAAAAAGCTTTTAATATTTTTTAAAACGATAATTGATTTTTGACTCAATTACACATTTCTTTTTTTTTAAATCAAAAACGATATCAACTTGCTTTTAGTTTCGTTCTTATCTGATTGATTCTTTTCAATATAAAACAAAAAATAATTATAACAACGTATGTTATGAAAATCGTCTGAATTTGACATTTTTCTGTGTTGTAATAAATAAAATTTTCTAAATTTATAAAATGGGTGTGGATGAAGATCTCTTCTATTTCTTCAGTCATGCCCTCATCTACACTAGTATCGTCATTTCCACATGAAATGAGCAAAATTGTTACTATGCAGGTTTTGATCAGTGCTACCTTTTTAAATAATTTCTATGATTATGAATAATTTTTTTTTGAAATGTTATTTAGATTGTATTATAGGCACTATGTGTCTGATGTCTTTTATCGCTTGCTGTCTAATCTTTATCAAGCGCTATATTATGTTGTTTAAAGTTAGAATCCTTCGTTCTCCTCCAACTTTCACAGACACTGATGTGCAGGAACACAAAAGAGATCGATGGGTTATTATTGATAATGACGTGTATTGTCTTGCATCGATGGTTAGTCATTCAGGTGGTCTCGATATTATTAATGAATTAGCTGGTAAAGACATCACTCGAATATTCCATGAAATACATCTAACATCAAATTTAAACAAACAACTTTTAAATCGCAAATACTGGATTGGTAAAATTGATCGCAATGCGAGTAAGGAACAATGCGGTTATTTTCTCATGCAAAATCTGTTATGTAGAACTGTGCCAGAATATAATTTACCGATGCGAGTACCTTTTGATCAAGTGTGTACTTTGAAAGAGCAATTTAAACAGTATATTATGAGTGCAAACTTTCCCTGTTTGAATGGAAAAATTGCTTTTAAACGGAATGCATTTGGGTTTGGTGTGTACGATATATTAGCTACTGAGCATAGCACTAAGCTCTTATGGCATAATCTTATTGAGTTCATCAATCGTCAATCGTCTTTATGGGAGCATCATCATATGTTCACTACGTATGTCGCTTGTTTTCGTACTCCGAAAGACGTGAGCGAAGATATCTTTGAAACATTGCTCTGGAAACAGTTACGCCTACTTCATAAAGAAGATGTCGAAAATGGAATGATTTGGGCCGAAAACTACTCCGATGATCCTCTAGATCCTAATTTTGGCTTTAGTGTAGGTGGACGTGCGTTTTTCATCGTTGGGCTGCATCCGAATAGTTCAAGGAAAGCTGGACAATTTCTTACACCGTGTCTTGTTTTCAATTCACATGATCAATTTACGAATCTCCGCCGATTAAACATATTATCTGAGATAAGACAAGTCGTTCGCAATGCTGATCTTCGTGAAAATGGATCGATAAACCCGAATGTAATTTCAAATGATAACAATTCGGTTGCTTTCGAGTACTCGGGCAAGCTTATTAATCCAGATTGGACACCAGATTTCAAGTCCCGACACAAGAAAACGAATTGAGCTGAATTTTTTCAAGAACTATTTGTATTCAGAAAAAAAAATAGTTTATTGATTAAATAATAAGGATGTTAGTAGGTGCCGGTGTTAGCATAAGTGACGTCTATGTTGCTATTAAATAAAGGTATTAGAGAATTACTCATTGCCAGCAATTGTATTCTGTCGTAGGGACTTATATAAGATGGTTAAATCTTGTAATCTTCAAAGCGCTTTCTATGTTTAATTTGTTATCAGAATGATATTCCATATATATGGAGTCAAATGCTTAAATTAATACATATATGATATTTATATTGAATTTGAAGCCTTCTTATAGTATAAATCTCTAACGAAAATTGAAATTAATTAGATGTGCATAGTTTCTCTTTTGTTATAATATGATAGAAGCATTCAGTACACCTTCAGGTTTCTCAACGAATATATCATTTCAATCATAATGTCGCTTCTTCTTGCTAATCAAATTATATTATTTCCTTTTAATAACTAAGTCTAAAGCTAGAAATCTGCATGCTATTTTTTTTTAAAATTGAGATTATATGTGAATGAGACACTTCTCGTTGGCAGGGAAGCCAGCCAATTGACTATAGCGAAAAGTCTCAAACTAAAATTTAAATTCACTATTTTCCTTCAAAAAACAAGATGTATTGACTGTGTTTCAATTTAACAGCATAGCATAAAAAACTTCTCGTCTTTCTGTTTTGAAGTGCTTGATATCCATCGTCTTTAGTATAGAATATTTATACGTCATTATCATTGCATTTTTATTGTATGCAGTGGCCTTGCATGGTCATATTGTTTATCATTTTTATGAAGCTCTTATCTCAATTTAGAGTTAGAAGTACAACACATACAAGGTAAGAATTTGCTTGAAGAAAATTGACGACAAATGCAATATAAGCATTAGCTGTTATCTCAGGTGTGTTTAAACCTATTCATTTTTTTTCTTTCACTAAGAGATGAGTTTCAGTAATTCTTTATAGATCAAGAACTGATTCCTAGACTTTAACGAAGAGAAATATCGGTTATAATCGAGAACAATATTAACATGACTGAAACAAGTCAAACTCTACAGCCTCAATTTAAGATGCCTCAAATGCCATCTCAAGTTTACTCCTGTTTTGTCATTAATCGTACGGAACATCCTATTGAATGTATTGTACATTATGTCGGTCGTCCAGGTGAAGATAAATTTAATGAAGATGTTCACGTCACTATTTTAGCTAATGATGAAAAATTTTTTCCTCGTCGCCTGTTTCAACCTGATTTACCTGATTCATATTGCAAATGGGTCAAAATTATTACCTGTATCAAGGTGACGAAACATGATGGAAAAGTGCTTGAAGCCTACGATCCATTCGATAATGTTCATTATCCGATACGTAATTGGGAATTTCATGTATGTGAACAAGGGGCTATATTATCGAAACCACCCACTCGTCCTGCTAACTTACTCAAATATGAAGGACTTGATGAATATGAACGATAACTCCTCACTATCATAAATCATATAATATTCATTTTAAATAAATTCTTTCGACAGAGTAGCAAAAAAACAAATTAGGCATACATCAGTGTCAGTTTTGAACTGGAAACTGTGTATCTAGTCTGACGCGATATAGATTTAACTGATACTGATGTATACCTAATAAAAAACTAAAAGTTAAAGTTAAACTATCCTACATTGTTTCAACTTTTAGATATGTCACAATTCAAATCTTTAACAACGTCATTATACGGTCCTTCTATCGACGTTATCTTACCATCAACGAATCTTTTTGATCGTTTCGTTGAACGGGTCTGCCAACATCCTAATAAAATTGCTCTGATACTCGACGATCAGTCGCTAACCTATGCTGAATTGTATGTGTTGGTCAACTCACTTGCATGTCGACTGTCTCGTATCGTACAACCAAATGATGTCGTATGCCAATGTGTCGAACGAAGTATCGAAATGGCCATCGGTATTTTAGCCATTTTCATGTGCAACACTACTTATTGTCCACTGAATCCATACGATCCGGATCAACGACGTCAAACACTTCTCAGTCAAACCCATGCCAAAGTTATGTTAGTGCACAACGCCACAGCTCATCTTTTTATCGACGATGACCGTGTTTCCGTAGTACGAATTGATCAAGAAGATAAAAATGATTCGATCACTGTTAACAAGACTGTAGACGATCCGTCTGCCATTGCTTTTATTGTTTTTACATCAGGATCAACAGGCACTCCTAAAGGTGTTCCAATTGGACACACAAATTTTGCATACTATCTCGCTAGTATGTGTCACGAACAATATATCCTAGAAAGCGATATACTATTACAGATATCACGAGATACATTTGATGCTCATATACAAGAGATACTTGGAGCAGTATTGGTCGGTGGTACTTGTGTATTACTCGGTTCAAGTAATGGAACTCATCTGAACATTGCCTACCTAGTAAAAACAATGCGTAATCATCATGTAACATTCGTCAATCTTGTGCCATCTGTTAGTATTGCTCTCATCGACTATCTTAGTAGTCCAAAGCAATTGCTCTCAGCATGTCTTCGGATAGCCATATCAACAGGTAAGATTTAAAGCAGGGACGACACAGTTATGCGTTATCAGCATTTAATGAACGATAAAATATAAAAAAGACTGTTTGAATTATAGGAGAACCATTACCTCGAACTCTTGCCGGCGAGCTTCTGACATGTCTCGAGATACATACTCAACTATTGAATACGTATGGAGTTACTGAAACAACACTCGATTGTACCTATCGTCGTGTGTTTGAGGCAGATACTCAACCAACAGCATCGGCAGCATTCGTTCCCGTCGGGTTACCACTACCCAATTATGTTTGTCATATTATGATTGAGGAGTCCGAACAACCAGATAGTATTGGTGAGTTATATATTGGAGGACCGGGTGTTTTTCGAGGCTACTTAAATTATGGCACAAATCCAGAAGACAGTCGTCTGGTAGAGCTTGATGGAAAGATGTACTATCGCACGGGTGATCTCGCCAAGATCGTCAATGGTGAGCTTGTTCATCTAGGTCGACGAGATTTTCAAGTCAAAATTCGAGGTATGTACATTGGACATAAAGAAAATTGCTTTAATTGGATTGGATTATTTTTTAGGTCAACGTATCGAAACAGGAGAAATCGAGGCGATTATATTGCGCACATGTCGAAAACAGTTGAATGCATGTCTTGTTATAGCGAAGAGTGATCAATTGATTGCTTATGTTCAAACTCGTGAATCTGACTTAACGATCGAACAACAAATCAAGGAAATATGCAGTCAATATCTTCCATCAAGTATAAGCTTATTTGCTGTCGTCGTTCTTGAACGATTTCCGCTGAACGCTAACGGAAAAATCGATCGTGCTCGCTTACCATCACCTGAGCCTCACACAGTGACATCGCCAGTCAATCACACACCTCAAACCGAACTAGAATTTGAACTTCAAACCCTATGGTGTCGACTTTTGAAGGTTGATAATGTACCGTCTGATATCAATTTGCTAACTTTGGGTGCTAATTCTCTTCATTTCATGTTAGCTACAAATCACTATTGTCGTCAGTGGCTATCCAATCAGCCTCAAGTTGATTTTTCTACTTTCTTTCGACAGATGACCATCTCACAACACGCTCAACTACTTGCAGCTCATGCACAGACTACTCTCACTGCTACCACTGTATCACGCTGTTCGGCAAGTCATCTTACCGAAGGTATATTTTATCTTATGTTTGTATGAGCATATCAACTATATCATGCAAATGAGTAGTAGATTTAGCAAAAAAAAAGTAAATGAGAAAAAGTTCTTATTAAGATAGAACTTCATGTTTGTTCGTACGAGAAAAGTAAAAGAGACTTTCATATATCTTAGAATTTGAAATTTTTTTTATAGGACCAGCTTCGTTTGCTCAAGAAAGTATTTGGCTTGACGAACAAATGCGCTTTCAAGGTGAAAAGGACAGTTTGTCTATTTATCACATGATATACGCGTTTCGTGTATCGTCAATTAATAATGAATCACACGTGGTCTTATCACGTCTTCGATCAAGTCTTCAACTAGTCATCGAAAAACATACTTCATTGCGCAGTAGTTTATACATGTCCCATGATCAACAAAATAAACTAATTCAATGTATTTGTCCATTGACTTCTATTGACGAGATTGTTGTTGAAAGTTGGATTAAAAATGATGATGATCTATTCAAAATAATTGCTGATGAGGAGACAAATCAATTTCACCTCGATATTTCAAAAGGACGCGTTTTTCGTTGTCATTTAATTCGATATTTTGATCATAGCTCTGATGATGTTCTTATTTTTAAATTTCACCATTTGGTATTTGATGGTACTAGTGAGACTCTGTTTTTCAATGATCTACATGAAGCGTACATGACTGGGCAACTTGCAATTGTTCCTAATGACACAATCACCTATTTGGATTATGCTCGATGGGAACGAACTTCAGACATGTTGGATGCGTTATCGTTTTGGAAAGAGAGTCTAAAAGATTATCAAATGTTCGAACTACCCTACGATCAACGGCTTCTGTCAAAAGCTCGCACAGGCAGTGGTTCTAAAGTGGTAGTGCAAGATTTTGACGCAGATATACTTCTTGCCTATGCCAGTCGTCAAGAAGTGACACTTTTTCAGCTCTGCCTAGCCATCTATTATACTTTTCTGTTTAAACTTACCAGTAGTCAAGATTTAATTGTGGGTGGACTTGTTGCTAATCGAATACAACCCGGACTCGATTCTATGATCGGTATGTTCGTCAATCTCGTACCTTATCGGTTTCAAATTGAACCACGAGAAACATTTCAAGAATTAGTAAGACGTGTGCAACATCTCTGTCATGATGTCGTTTCTCATGCCTACGTGCCATTTCAGTCCATATCAAAGTTAATCGAATCGGTGAATGGCATTTCAACAACAATAGATATTGAAACAATCCAAGATCGTTATCCATTTGATACTGATCTTGAACTCGTCCACATAGATCTACCTGTTAGAATGACACAGTTCGATTTATCATTGTCATTTAAACATATTCTATCACGAAATACTTTACATTGTTCATTCGATTATTCTACGGATGTTTTCGAGAGATCAACAATTGAGACACTAGCTAAACGATTTCACCAGTTAATTAAACAAATTCTATGTGACGACCAGCGTCTTATCTACGACTTTAGTCTTCTACTAGAAAACGAACATCAAATACTTCGTAATTTGAATCCATCGATGCCTATCGCACAAAATACTGACTGTATTCATTGGGAATTTGCTCACAGAGCACAAGAACATCCGCAAAAGATTGGCATACTGATGGAAGATCAATCTCTCTCATATGGTGAAATACTTCACTATTCTCAGCAACTCGCCTTATATCTCCTAACACATTGTCATGTGCGACCTGGCGATATTGTCTGTCAACTTGTCGAACGAAGTATTGAGATGGTCTTGGGCATTCTTGCTATTTGGATGTGTGGTGCTATTTATACACCATTCAGTCCTCGCGAACCAGCTGCTCGACTTCACTCACGTATTTCCAGTTTACAAGCTCGTATTTTGCTAGTGCACACAGCAACTCGTCATTTTATGGAGCAAACTTCAGATCTTACAATTGTTGAAGTTGATCGAATCGGTGAACAGACTAATGATATCAGCGCCCTTGACAATGTCTCAGTCACATCTGAACATTTGTCACATATTGTATTTACATCTGGTTCTACTGGTGAACCAAAAATGGTAAGTTAATTTAATTTCGATATATATATTTCCTAAATTTACTGGTATATATAGGTTCAACTGCGTCATCGAAACTTTGTTTCGTATATTCATTCGTGTTTAATTAAACCAACGGATATTATTCTTCAGCATGCATCAGTTGCATTCGATTCTCATATTGAAGAAATCATGGGTCCTTTGATAAGCAGTGCTCAACTTGCTATACTCAAGCCTGATCCATATCACCTTGATATCGATTACTTTTCAACAGCAATTGCTCAACATCAAGTGACATTTCTATTTCCTGTACCAACTTTATTGATTATGCTCACAAATTTCGTACGATCATTGTCTAAAGATGAACAATGCAATCGTTTGAAAACTCTACGCTTACTGTCATGCGGAGGTTTGTCTTCTACAAAAACATCATAGAAAATGTTTAGTTGAATAGTATTCCATATTTTTTTGATATCATTTCGTTCAGAGATTATTTATAGTCTATGCATATTATCAAAACTTTTATATGTTGTAGGTGAAAAACTTTATTTGGTGACTGTGCTCGATATTTTACCATTCTTGGATGTCAATTGCTCTATTCATAATTATTATGGTCCCGCAGAATGTACTCTGGCTACTCTGCACTATGAGGTGACAGGTCATGAACCACAAAATAGTATTGGTCTACCAATTGGACGACCAATGGCGAATGCTCGTGTCTACATCCTAGACGAATTCTTACAAAAAGTATCACCTGGCCAAATAGGCGAGATTGTGATTGGAGGTAAGAGATATACTTTGAAAAATTAAATACAATACATAAACAGAGTTTTACTCTTTGATTTGAACTTAGGAGAATTAGTTTTGTCCTAATGTTCGATATATAAAAGTGCAATTGAGTTGCGGTAGGAGTATTATGCATCTAAAGTGTAACTTCGATGAGTGACGAATAAATGATTATTGTTGACTATACATCGCTCTAAAACTCGGTATATATTCTATTAAGGACATGGTGTGTTCGCTGGTTATCGGAATCGAGACGACCTTACTCAACAAGTTCTGATCGAACACAATGGATATACTTGCTATCGAACGGGCGACTTAGGACGTTTGGATACAAACAATGGACAAATCGAATATCTTGGTCGTCGTGATTATCAAGTAAAAATTCGAGGACAACGTATCGAATTGGATGAGATTGAACACACTATTATGCGTTGTAGTCCTAATATTTCCAATTGCATCGTTCTCAAAATAACGAACGCGTCAGTCGACCATTTAGTGGCTTATATTGAAAGCAGCGATGAAAACTATTCGGCAAACGATAGTGATATACGAAAGTTTTGCATTGAACATTTATCTCCGTTTATGGTGCCTTCGTTTTTTATCGTTCTTGACAAGTTTCCGCTTAGTCAAAGTGGAAAAATTGACCGAGCACGCTTGCCTCCACTAAACATTACTGATATTTCGAAAGAACAAACTATAGCAACGTCATCAATGGAACGTCAATTATGTTCTATCGTTGCACTAGCATTCGACATTTCTCAGACGTCTCTATTGAATGTCAACGCAACATTTGCTCAACTTGGAGCAACTTCGTTAGGTATTGTTAAAGTCCTCGCATTAATTCGTCAGCAAAAATTGGCTGGCTCGCATCCAGTTGACATTGGCATCTTGCTCGATAATCCTTCAGTACGCAAAGTAGCACAAGCACTAAAATCATTGCATTCTTCCGACAAAGAAATTGCTCATGGTAAGGGAGATTTTTTAAGTGATACAGAAATGAAGCATAAACAGATATTTGATTATAACAGTAAATTTTTACAGGCCATCTGCTATCCATTGATCAGTGCGTGAGTGAGAAATCAATGACGCCTGAACACAGGGGGTTCAGCCGATCGCTATTCATTGAAACATTTGGTATTATTCTACTGATCTATATCTTCGCCATACCTATTTACCTTGCATTTCGGACAACTCTGATCTTAGCGCCGGTGCTTCATTTGCTATTATATATTCTATTGAAAAAAATGCTTGAACTGCCGTCAACGGATGAATGTCACTCAGTATATTCGTTCGTCTATTATCGATGGTGGTTTCTGCAACGTCTGTGGAGACTAAATGCTCCCTGGCATTATATGATTCTTGGTACATCACTCTACAACACTTATCTGAGTCTATGTGGTGCCCGAATAGGAGCAGACGTTCAACTAAGAACTAGTCTGATCGACTGGCCTGATTCTATTGATATTGAAGAAAACTCATTTGTAGGCGAAGATGTAGTTCTCAGTTCAATGACGTATAAATCTGAAATCGCATTCAGACTAACTTCCATTCACATTGGTGCTAGATGTAGAATCGGTGCTCGAAGTATTCTATATTCAAAAGTTCATATGGGTGAGCAAGTTCTTGCGAAACCTTTGACATCCATAAGTAAGTATATAGATGCTCATGAATAACATGTCAATTTTGATATAAAACTTATTCTATTTACAGCGGGTACAATTACTGCCAACGTACTCATGAACGGTTATGAAGAATTACGCACATCAGAGTCGTATGAATTTATAAATGAAGCACCCGTAAAGATGTTTCATTCACTCTTAGGTATTTGCACCGTGTGGCTTATTCACGAATGTCTCTTACGTATGGCTTTAATATGTTCACAATCTTTTTGGCCACTAACATGCTTGATCTGGTTGCTAGGATGCATATCTATTTCGCTCATTACTCTCAAATGGTTACCTTCGATCATCGATACTTGGTGGATCCGACAACTGCTTGTTACCGCTTTTGGTTTTGCTATTCCGTTTACATTTGAAGGCGATAGAACAACATCAACTGAATATATCTATCCTCGATTAGTTCGTTGGCTAGGTCGTAATTGTATTGGTCAAAATGTTCATAGTGGAACGATTACTAATCTACTTACGATCCGTCGTGATCTTCTTGATGTTGGCATGAATGTCATGCTTGGCTCGAACATTCTTTTCGATGATGGCAACTCTGTTATTTCCATTGGAGATGGATCTTCATTGGGCAACGATTGTCTTATTCAGGCCGGCGCTCATATTCCATCGTCAACAAGTGTCGGCTCAATGACGCGTGTCGATAGTTCATCTGATTTTATACAATCGAATCAAGTACTTGTTGGCATTCCTGCTCGACAAACAGCGCTTTTTGCTGCTGTTCAATCTGTTGATAATTCATCTAATCAAACTATAATATCTTACCCTATTATTCAACTAATCTTCGTTCGATTTGTTTCATTAATACTTATTTTTGGTATCATGCATATGACTATTCTACCTATTTCAATCATAATCTTCTCATTGATCGCGTGTATTCTATATTCACCAAAGAACAAGTCATTCTTATTATCATCTTTGACTTCTACACTTGTTAATGATTTCAATTCGTGTGTGGGACCATTTCTTGGTGGCACACAATGGGTCAACATAGTTCTAAATGCATTTGGTGCTACGATACATCGAACTGCCATCATAGCTGATATAGATTGTATCGATGATCCTCACTTGATACAGATCGATTCACATGTACGCGTCAATCAACGAGCTCGTGTACAAGTAAGTACGATCTGAGAGTAGATAATATTGGCTATCGGTAGTCAATGAACATAGGCTTCTCCATGCTATCCCTATGTCGACTAGCATATGAAGTTCTCTTCTTCAATGGATCAATCGTCAAGGATTGAAATATCCAGTAGAAAATAGGTCTTTTTCATATTTTATTACTTTAATATTAGTTGATATATCTGTAATTGCTATCATTAAAGATTTCCACCTTGTTTATAAAATCAGGAGGAAATCCATTGAACTTTATAATTAAATTCTTGCTAACAACTTTACTTGGAAAATAGAAAGTAGATATGTCTAGATTTACCAATTGTACGATTCTAATTGCTGAATATTTTTGACAAGACACAATTTGTAGTTAGTCGTAAGACAAGATGTGTTTATGTGTCCATGAGAGAAAAGTCGAATATGAACAATTCAGTCAAATAGGAATGATTAACGTCAGCTTGAAAGCTACGAAATCTTTGACATTATTTTCAATCTGAGATCAGAATGTCTTCAATATTAACAATCCGTCAACTTTCTTTTATCTATATTTGAATAGTTAATGATCAAATTTTGAACTTTTTAGGCACATACTTATGAATATCGACAATCATATATGCGTCCAGTAATAATCGGCGCTCATTCTCATCTGATGCCGAATGCATTTGTATTGCCTGGTTGTCATCTCGATGGAAACAATACAATCTATCCGTGTACTCTTATCATGAAAGGTGATAAATTACCAATGCATACAAACTGGAAAGGATCACCAGCTCGTCATTTTCAATCATCGTGTTCATTCCCGCAATAAACATTCTGTTTTTATTAGTAAACATTATACAATAATAAACAATATTTTTGAACGATTTTCTTTTACACATAACTATATTGTAAACTTAGCTTTTGAGACGCGACTTGCATCAAAATTACAAGCATGTCGATACTAATAGCGAGTCGAGAAGATTTTTACAACATTTATTTGCTTTATTAATCTACTTCTTGATACAAATATCAAAATTAATTTTACTAATGAAAGTAAAAGGCATAAGCATTAGAAAAAATACGCTTTAGTTCTGCTCGAAATGTTTTAGAAACGACTATGTTTGTATAACAACTAATGCCATTGTCGACAAAATACCACAAGAACGTTAATTGGAGAATGGATTGTTCAATTATTTGTTGTTCGACACTTTTTGCACTGTATTGTGTAATTTGTGAATAGATGGTCATGATCTCTGAAGGAAACTTACAAAGAGTAAAACTAATGATATCCACAAGCAACATGCGAATCAGTTGTTGATCTTTTGAATGCAAAGCATGTAGTTGACCAACTGCGATCACTCCTGTATCGACAGCTCGAGAAGGTTGTGCTGGACGCTGTATTCCTCGAATATTTCTCACCGTCAAAAATCCAAAGATTGTCATGACAAGTGGTGGAATGACTCCCAGGATTGAAATTGATTGATAAGCTATCAATGTAGAATATAGACCTGGTTGACAGTAACAAACAAAGTAGCCAGGTGCGAATTGAATTATTTCTGAGAAGATTAATCCATGACTCATGAAGAGTAACCAAAATACCGAGATACTGATCATACTGATTGTAATTAAACGACGTGTACTAAATCGCCGAGTGTTGGCATTTGGTGAAGTGATAAATGTGCGATCGATGGCTGCCAAAATAATATAAGATGACTGCCAGGATGAAAAAACATAAGCAAAATAAAGGCGTAATCGACAGAGAACGATGCTATTGGTACTTGGATCAATATTGTAACCAGATGAAAGGATTGTTGGCAATAAACCAAAATAAAAATACAATAAATTGATGATATTCACAGCTATAAAGCAGATAGTACATGGATTCTTTCGTAAAGTATTCTTGGTAAAGACCATTAGATTCATTAGACAACTGATAGTTCCAATAACTATCAACAATGGACCACCAATACGAAGTATCTGTTGTTGAATATTATGAAACGTGGTTGCTGAAGACATCTTCCTTATGGATTAGTAGAATGAAAATAACTTCAATATTAATGAGATGTATAAATAATTTACACTGGCAATTTTATATGATGACAGCAGCAGTAAAAACAAAAGAACTTCCAGTGCCTACATATTATCAGAGAAAAGGATATTAACATAATATGTTTTGTAATCTCTGATTTACATATATTGACCTGAGGAAATACTCAAGGCAAAGCTTTCTAATTAGTATAAGACGATGTTTAGAAAAAGGATTTGCGTAAGCAGATTATGCGATACTGAATAAACTTATTACAATTTCTAGCTGCATTCAATTAGCCTTAATACATTTTCTCGAATATCTCAGGATAAAAATAATTGTCAAATATGACATCCTCTGGCAGTTGATTTACTCTTTATGTTAATCTTAAATAGTATGTGCGTCAATCGAAGGAATGACATGAATTAAATCCCTTACATTGAGTTAATTAAAAATGAACTATCATCATCTACAACTTATCAAAATGTATAGACTCGATCAAGACAGTTGAGTAACGAAATAATTTAAGTTGATATTTTTTGCAGAACATGCAAAATAGAATTTCTATTCATTGACAGTTGAAAACTTAAATGAAACTAATACATTTCACACTAATCTAATATTTCGTTTTCATTTGTATTTTTTTCGAATACAATATTGATAAGTTTTAATTGATAATAAGAGATTTGGAACAAAATGGTGAAACTAACTTGAAATATATAACATCAGATATATTAGATTAATATACTGGAGGACAAAAAAACAGAAGAAAATTGCGATTCATAAAACACTTATCATTTCAATATATAGCTACAATAATCAAATGGATTTTATTAAAAATTGAATCCACAAATAAATTTATCTACAATGTATAAAGGTTTATTTTGTTGAAAACTCTGCTTGTATCCTGTCAGGATTTAAATCGCTGAGTACAAATCCATTTTCTAATGTGTTTAACCATACAGAATGTAAGAGAATAAAATGAAAAATTTTACTGATTATCACATGACAAATCTAATAAACGATGGTACTTGTCTCTTTTTCTTATTATGAAAACAATTAGATAGTCTTAGAAGAATACACACAAAATACGTAATATGAGGTATATTTAATTTATTTATATTGAATATGATTTTTTTAATTCTATTAACTTGAGATCGAAACAAATAAAATTGTTATGGACAGTATTTTGTGCTGATTTAGATTATATAATATTTTCAAAAAAGATATATATATA